TGTGTGGCGCAGGTGGATGACAAGTATCAGTACTCACTGGAGGACAAGGATAACAAAGTTCACGGCTGGATGGTAGCTAACCCACCGGTGGGATTCTGGATGATAACGCCCAGTGACGAATTCCGAGTAGGTGGACCCATCAAGCAGGATCTCAACTCTCACACTGGCCCAGTTAACCTCAACGTAAGCTCACCATCCAACTCACTCTCAAATTAAATCCAGATTAGTAGAGAAATTACAACTTACTTATTTGGGTTGGGCGTTGATAATGGACAGATGTTTGTTAGTACCCATTACGCCGGGATCGATATGGATTTAGAATACAAGCAAGGAGAGCCCTGGAAAAAGGTTTTCGGCCCATTTCTCGTATATCTTAATTCGGCTCGTTCCCCGGGTAACTACAGTACACTCTGGGGAGATGCTAAAAGACAGGTAGTTTTTTTTTTTTTTTTAATTAATACAAACGTTTTTTAGTCTGTACTAACCAAAGTATGATACTGTGGTCTGAAAATAGGTATAATATCCTTTAAATCTGTTTGGTTTAAGAAAAATGTAAGAAGAGATCAATGCCTTAATTTGATTGTGTCTTGATTTCTCCTTTCCACCTTTCAAACCTAATATGCTTTTAACTAACACTTTATGTTTCGAGTACAATAAAAATACATTATGCATTATAGTCATTTTTAGTTATAACTCGCAAAATTATCAATCCAAACTGAAAAACGGCAGCCCATTGGATCATTTCTATATATATATATATATAAATGAGCAGCTAACAATTTATGTGGGTTAAGCAGATGTTGGAAGAAGTTAGAAGCTGGCCTTACAATTTTGTTGCATCACCAGATTTTCCTCCTGCTGATCAAAGAGGACAAGTTTTCGGCCAATTAGTGGTTGCTGACGGGTATTCCTCCTTTTTCTCATCTTTTATGGATTCTTAATATCAATTTTAGAAAAATCGTCTGCAAGCTTAAATTATTAGGTGAAATCATTTTCACTTGCATTTTTCTGTTATTAGATATGTATCCAATAAGCCAATTTTCGCCAAGGGTGCCTATGTGGGGTTGGCAGC